GCCAGTGAAGTCCAGAAGGAGCTGGCTTTATCCCTGTCTTCCTGTTTCCTTCCCTCCTTCCACAGTTTACTGCTTTAGGACAAAGGCCACTGCAGAGGTTTATAGACAAGTAACAGTTCTAACGACATCTGCAACAGAAGCGACAAAGAACAAAATGAGATAAATCTGGGTTGAGTTTCTAAGTGCTGAAAATAAGTAATATCTCAGAGATCACTTTTTAAAAAAATAGGAGTATCTCAGGGTAACAGAAGAAACTCCCACATTGGACAAATTGGGTAAAATCCTGGCTTAGCCACTTCTTAACACCCAAACTAAATTCTCTGAGCCTCAGTTTTTTCTTTCATTTGGGCACTAGAGATAGTGACTGTAGTGGACCTGGATCACCTAGACTCAGTGAAGGGTAGGTGGATATGGCCCTGTCACTGTCCCTGCACCGTCCCAGACCATGGCTGGTGAAGGGGCCAGGACAAACAGATGCTCAAGCCACAGGGACTTCCAAATAGAGTAGAAAGCCACTCACTTTTTCTAATATTGCAGAGTTTCTGTGATTGCCTATAAAATTGCCCTCAGCAACATCCAGACATAAGTGACAACAATGTGGTGTGACTGGTCCTCCTGGTATCTCGGGTGCAGCTACAGTGTTACTTCCTGTCCACCGGCTCTCCATCGGCCCATCAAATTCTCAGCCCAGGGCTGGTGGGGATGAGAGGAAGATCTAGACCCTGGCCTCTGGAAATGCAGAATCTGCAGGGCAGCCAGGTTCTCACAAACAATGGTATGCCAGGAGGCCAAGCCCCCCGTGTCTAGCCAGTGCTGCCTAATTCAGGCCCTCTGCATGGTGACCGCTCAGCCTCATCCCCAAGAATCCTCCTCTGTGCCAGCCATTCCTCTGCCCTGTCTCTCACAGCACACTCCAGGCCTTCTTCTGTACTGTCCCTCTCCATCAGGAAGGCCCTTCTTCTTCAGTGCCTGTCCCTCGTGGGGACAGCTTTCTGGCAAGCCCTCTAGCTGTGTTCAATCTCAACTTTCATTTACTCAGCTAGTAGTCACTGAAGCCTGCTCTGTGCTGGGCCCCGAATAAACAGAATATGCCCGACCCGCGTGAGGCCTTGTCACGTGGCCAGTCAGTCCCTGTGAAAGGATGGCTACCTCCCCGCTTTGTGATTGTATGTCTGTCTCCCCACTAGACTATGCACTCCATGAGGGCAGGGTGGGTCAGTCCTGAGCACTGTTGTGAGTGTCCAGAGCCCGTTATAGAAGCGGGTGGTGGTCAGTTAATTGTATGGCTCTGTGGCAGGACTGGTTGACTGATGGCATGCTGGGAACTCAGAGGAGGCAGTCAGGACTTTAATGAAGAGCCAAGGAAGGGCTCCTGGAGGAGGCTGTGGCTGGAGTTTGTATGGGAGGGGAGGGAAGGGCTGGGGAGGGTGTGGAGTGGTGTGAGTCAGTGCCCTGCTGGAAGGGCGGGCAGGAGCCCATGAGGCTAGCTGGATGCCCTGAAGAGCAGTTCAGGTGCTGTCTCCTGGGGCCTCGGGGTCTCTCTGGTTGTCTGCACAGCTCTGTTGTCCCCAACTCCAAGTTCTCTTTCCCTCATTCCCCCACCTTCCCACAAAGCATAGGATAAGTCCATGGTTAAGGGATCCAGAAGGCAGCAAGGTAGGTGGCAAGATGCTATTTGAGAGTCTAGGACCTTCCTCAGCTCCGATCACCTCCTCATCTAGAGTAAAAGATACCCAGTGAAATCTGAATTTTAGATAAACTGAATAAATCCTTTGCATAAATAATAACTGGGACATGCTTCTAAAAAATTATTCATAGCTTATCTGAAATTCAAATTTAACAGAGCATCCTGTATTTTCACTTACTAAACCTTGCAACCCTTCCCCCAACTCCTCACTTCAGAATCTTGCCTCACTCCTGCCTGGAGCCCCCAGGGAAACCTTTGAGGTTGTGGGCCTGCTGCAATTTACTCACCAGAACAACAATTTAGAGCTGCAAGGAATAGTGAAGATTTCTAGCCCCATCCCTCTCTGTTTACCCCCTCGGAGGGAGAGGCCCAGAAGGATCTGGCACCGGCAAGTCCTTGGGCACCTCTTAATAAATTATCTGCATTGGGGGCTGGGGATGTAGCTCAGTTGGCAGAGTGCTTGCCTCGCATGCACAAGGCCCTTCTACATCTTTGGCCTCCCAGAAAGCAGAAGGACTCTCAGTGGGGGCCTTCTAAGGAAGGGCCAGGGCCTGCCCAGCCAACACTTTGGGGCATTTTTGAGTGAGGCAAGGCGGGAAGTCTCTAGGTTCCCGCTCCCACCTGGAGCTGTTTCCCGGATCCTAACACCCTCAGGTGAGTCACCTCCTTCACCTGCTGGGGTGGATCTGGTGCAGTGCCAAAAGAAGGTCCGGTGCTCCTTCTGCTTTACTGGGCTCTGGGGAGGTGCCAAGGGCAGGGCAGGGCAGGGCAGGGCTGCTCCCTTAAGATCCAGGCCTGTAGAGGTGCTCAGAGAAGGCCCAGCCAGACTCCCTATGGAGAAACTGAGGCAGGGTGGGGAGATGCTGGATCAAAATCTCACAGCCATTAAGGCCCGCAGGGCTCTTTCTTCAGGTGCCATTCCTCATTACCTGATGAGATGGTCAACTCCGAGCCTGCTCTGACTCTCCACCTCACTTTCCCCTCCTTGATACCACATTGGGCACTGCTTTGTGACTGTCCGTCTCCATACAACATAATCCTCATCACTATCTCTGGATCACAGAACGGTGCCTGGCATGAGGAGAGGCTTAATAAGCACTTGTTGAACGAGGCTGCCCTTACTACCTTTCACCTTGTGTGGACTGATTACCCGATGCCCAGTCCCCACAGCGCAGACACGCTTCCCACCATGCACCTGGAGACTGGCTGTATCTGTACAATGGCAGCTGTGAGTCTCCTGGTCTCTAAGGACTACCAGTGTAGCCCAGCTGGGGCTTCTTCCTCCTCCCTTTCCATCCCTAGACCTCTGTGTAGCCAATCCTCCCCAATCTGGAGTGTGGTGCCCCAGACCCTTCCTTTCACCCTGGTCAGATCCTTTTCTCTTTTTCCTGTCCTTCTCTGGGGCCCAAGTTCATGTCCTCTCTGTCTTGAGGACCAGAGGTGGTCAGGGCCTAAGGGGCTATACTCAGGGTCCTTGGGACACTATAAAGTCATCCAGAGAATGTTAATCAGAGCAAATCTGTCCTGACTTACTTGGTCCCAGTCCCTAACGAGTCCTGCTATCTCCTTTGAATGCTTCTCCCAGGTGTGTCCAGAGCCAAACTCTTCATCTTCTCTGGACCTGCTCTTCTGCCATCCTCAGCAAGGGCACTTCCAGCCAGCTGATCACCTGGCCAGGAATCACCCAGCTTCCCCTCATTCCCTCCCTGCCCCCATCCAGTCCTCCACTAATCCTGGATCCTTCCTGTGATGTCCTGCAGATTGTGTCCTGCTCACCTTCCAAATCTTGCCTCCATTTGTATTTCATCTTCTCCACCTGAACCTCTGAAGCACAGGCTTCTTGACCCCTGTCCCTTTGCCTTCCATCCACACTTCATGCAGCAGCAGGGAGGGATCCTACCACAGCCAACCCAACCTCATCATTCCCCGGCTCAAAACCCTTCCATGGCTCCCCATTGCCCTCAGGATCGAGTCTAGAACTCCTTGACCTGGCACTCAAAGGTCTTCATGACCAGGGACCTTGCCAGCCTTGTCATTTCACCTCACATCACCCTTCTGCTGACGGCTGAACCCTGTCCAGCTCCCATGTTGGTTCAAGGCAGACACACACACACACACACACACACACACACACACACACCTGTAATGCCTGCTTCTGGACAATCTTCAGGATTCCCCAATCATCTGGAGAATTCACTGTGGGAATCATATTGTTGCCTAGCGACGCCAGACAAACGAGACTTTGCAGGGTGCCCATATGTGTTTTGAGAGTCAAAATTGTTTAATTATGTACTCATGGCTTGTTCCAAAAAGATTTGAGGTGTGCCGTTAAATATTTATTGAGTGACACCCATGTGCAGAGCCCGGTATGTGCACACACACGCTCATCCACAGTTCCACTTGCACGCACAGGACCAAGGCACCATGAGGACTGTGGGACTCACGGAATCCCATAAAGGACTTCAAAGGCCAGTATGAGTTAGTTTTAGTTTTTGGTTATTAGTACCAGGGATTTAACTCAGGGCACTTTAATTAACACTGAGACACATCCCCAGCCCTTTTTATTTTTTATTTTGAGACAGGGTCTTGCTAAGTTGCTTAGAGCCTTGCTAAATTGCTGAGGCTGGCCTCAAACTTGCAATCCTCCTGCTTCAGCCTCCCAAGATGCTGGGATTACAAGTGTGTACCACCATGCCTGGCTTGGCCCGTGTGAGTTAGGACAGGGTACCTGATATGGAGAGAACCCTGTCTGGCTCAGGGTAACACCAACAGATGTGGAGTTGGGGGTTCAAACCTAGGGTTTTCTGAGCTCAAATTTCTAGGGGCTGCCCCCAGAGTACTGAACACAGCCCTGCCTTCAGGAGTTTCTGGTGATTGGAAGAGAGGGGACTTTGGCTGGGCCTTGTGGCCCAGCTACTTGGGAGGCTGAGAGAGGCTGAGGCAGGAAGGATTGATGTTCAAGGCCAGCCTCAGAAACTTGGTGAGGCTCTGTCTCAAAATAATTTATGTTTTTCTGGTACTGAAGATTGAACCCAGGGCACTCTACAACCTTTTTTTAAATTTTGAGACATGGTCTTGCTAAAATTGCCCATGCTGACCTTGAATTTGCGATCCTCCTGCCTCAGCCTCCCTAGTATCTGGTCAAAATAAAAATTTTAAGGGGCTGGGGGATGTAGCTCAGTGGTAGAACACTTTCCTAGTGTGTGCAAGGCCCTGAGTTCAATCACCAGTACTGCATAGAGACAGACAGACAGAGAAACAGAGACAAAAACAGGAACAGCGAGGAAGCTCTGGAAAATTAAATGAAACTCACTGCCTGGCGCTCAATGCTCCACCCAGCTCCACCCTCCCAGGTGAGGTAGCTCAGGGGACATCTGGAGTTGGCAGGATGAGGGATGGGAAGGTGGGAAGGATTTGGAAGAAGAGGACAGTGAGAAAGGCCGGACAGGGATCAGTGGGAACAAAGGCTGGAGGAGGGGAAAGACAACCAAACCATGGCTTCCCCTACCCCTGCTTGTGCTGCCCCTCCCTCTGTTCAGGTTGGCTTGGAGATCTGTTCCTCTTTCCTCCTGCAGTATCACCGGGGAGTGGCAAAGTGGTAAAGACTACGGGAGCTGCCAGGGTTCTAGGTTCTCCATGGAATGGATCCTGGGCCCAGCCAGGTGGCAGCATATCCACCTGCGTGGGCATAGCACACCCTGAGTTCTAGCTGGAAGCCTGCTCTCCTCCCCTCCATCCCTTCTATCCAGTCTGTGAACATGCGTCTCTAGACCCATTTCATAGAGGAGGAAACCAGGGACCCAAATATGGGTGACAGAGCAAGCTTCCATCTCTGAGTCCACAGAGACTAAAATCCTCCTTGTCAACTACCCGAGGTGTGTCGCTCCTGTTCCTGGGCAGGGCTCAGCCAGGTGGTTCAAGAAACATGCATTGGGTTGGCCTCTGGGAGGGTCCTGAGGAGGAGCCTCCCTTCTCTGCCCCTCCAGGCAGACAGCCATCAAAGCCTGAGCTTGCCCTCCTGGGCTGTTTGAGATGCCAGGCCTTCTACACTCTCACCCACAGGGCACACTGCATAGAGCCCCGCTGGACACCAGGCCTAGGGTCCAGTACCAGCTCTGCCATCATTCACTGTGTTACCTGGGCCAACATCTTGGTCTCTCTGACCTTCCCCTTCTTCAGGGAAGGTGCTGAGCTGGAAGGATTTCCAGGGCCCTTTCTGTCCTAAGCTTTCTGATCTTTGGCATCTCTGGAGGATTGCACTTGTCTGTCTTCAGAGAGTGTTTCAGGCTAGGAGCAGGACGGGTTCCCATCCCAATGCACTGGTCAGCACTGCGGGAGGACTCTTCAGACAGTGGGGAGGGTGGATGGGGGACAAGGATTCTAGTTTCATCTCCTGCAGCCAAAGCTGAGGCGGGCCTGGCCCACTCCTCTGAGACCCCAGCTGACCCCAGTACTGAGTGGCTGGGAACTGGCCCAGGCCAAGGCAAGGCAGCTGTCAAGGCAGCACTAAAATTAGCCCCAAGGCTAAGGGAGCAAGGATCCGGCCCAGGATTCGGGCTCTCACAGCCCCAAGGGACTTAGCCCACACCCCACTCAAGATGGGCGAGGTCAGCCAGAGTTCTGGGGTAACCTGTCATGATGCTGGGTGGGGAGAGCCACTGGCTTGTACAAACACATGTCAGAGGGCCAATGACGGGCAAGAGGCACCCTTCCAGTTGCTTGAGCCCTCAGGTAGCTCCCAGCCCTAGTTCTTCAGAACCCTGGAAAGGACCAGGGAGTGACCTTGCTATTTATGTCCTCCTAGGACAGGTTGAGGGGACCACCTGTCCTCCCAAGGTGGACGAGGATGACCTTGCACTTAGCACCAACTCCCAAGAGTGGAGGAGGAGCTGGGAGGTGTATCAGCCTGGAACAGGAGCAGGTGGGAGACACCAGAACAGGACCTAAGCCAGCTCCCTCCTGGCCACCTAGCCACCTGAGGATGGCAGCTCTGCTCCCTTCCCTCTTCTCTGCCTGGATGCTCTGAGGATCTTATTAAAATGCAGATTCTGATTCAGAAAGTCTGGGGTGGGGGTGGGATTCTTCAAGATTCTAACAAGTGAGCTGGGGATGTACCTCAGAGCACTTGCCCGGCATGTTCTGAGTTCAATTCTTAACACCACCAAAAAAAGAAAAAGGAAAAAAAAAAATTCTAACAAGAGCCCAGAATGGTCTGCAGACCACACTTTGAGTAGGAAACTCATTTCCTAGCCTGGACCAGACACAAGCACAAACAAGGTGTTTGTAGGTGTGAATGCCAACCTTGTGCCTCTGTATATATTGCATGTGGTTTGTTAAATGTAAACAAGGTGTACAATAATAATAAACATCAATAAAACTGAAAAATACCTAGCCCTTAAAAAAAAAGTCAATTGGGGCTGGGGATGTGGCTCAAGAGGTAGCGCGCTCGCCTGGCATGCGCGCGGCCCGGGTTGGATCCTCAACACCACATACAAACAAAGATGTTGTGTCCGCCGAAAACTAAACAATAAATATTTAAAAAAAAATTCTCTCTCTCTCTCTCTCTCTCTCTCTTAAAAAAAAAAAGTCAATTGAAAGTGCTGAGATTAAACCAAGAAACATAGTAAGAATTAAAAGAACAAACAAAAATTACCTAATCTTTATTGAGCACTATGCTTAGGCAAGGTTCTAAGAATGTTGTACATGATATCTTTTGGGGGAGGGGGAGGGGTACCAGGGATTGAACTCAGGGACACTCAATCACTGAGCCCCATCCCCATCCCTATTTTGTATTTTATTTAGAGACATGATCTCACTGCATTGCTTAGCATCTCGCTTTTGCTGAGGCTGGCTTTGAACTCTCCATCCTCCTGCCTCAGCCTCCCAAGCTACTGGGATTACAAGTGTGTGCCACCATGCCCACCTTATACATGATATCTTATTTATTCTTTTAACAACTCCAATGAGGTGAGAAAATTGAATCTCAGAGAGGTTAAGTGATTTGCTCAAGGTCACACAGCTGATAAGCTGCAGTCATAGCTGAGATATACATTTGCACCCATATCTATCAGTGCATGCACCTTGGTACATGTGAGCTGTGAGCATATGTGCAATTCCATAAACTCTGGTGATGCAGGAGGACAGCAGCCGCGTGGATAGAGCAGACGAGTTAAGAGTCAGACATGATGATTCAGAATGGGAGCTTTCCATGGGTGAGAAGAGGGAAGGAGACACAGATAGAAAGAGAAAATAGAAATCAGACAGACCCAGGCCTTAGTCAAGAAAGAAAGAAAGAAATGAAGGGAGGGAGGGAGATAATGGGGGTGGGGAGGAAGGAAGGAAGGTAGGTAGGTAGGTGGGTGCAAATTGCCCCACCTGGGCCTTCCTGGCACACAGTAGGTGCTTGAGTGTATTTATGGCCCTTCCTTCCCCAAGTGAATTAACTGACCTGCCATCTGGGGAGTGTCTGGTGCCCTGGCTGGCTACAGTCAGCTCACTGGGTTAAGAGAAGGCACCCTGGACAGGGCCAGGGACAAGCAAAGACAAGGCCCAGAGTAGTGTTGGGGTCACAGCTGAGACAGTACCCAAGCAGGAGCTGCCCTCTGAACAGAGCACAGAGCCTGGCCTCCGGCCCCCTGCCTCGGCCAATAGGAGAGGCTGCGAGCCAGGAGACACCCCTATTCAGGAGCAGCTCTCTCAGGAAAGCAGACACCCTGACTCAGCCCTCAGCTATGCTGGACACAGCAGCACTCGTAGTTCTCCAGGCCTTGCCCCTGGGGGACCAAAGCTGTGCCGGATATCAATCTGGGCCTTTGGAAGTTCCTGTTGATTCATTTGCTCTTCCTCCACCCACAGTCTTGACTTTGCTGCTGGACGTGTGTCTCCCTGAGGCTGTTCTCACCTGGTTGGCTCCCAGAGTGGGCAGCCATGAGGCATCACTGGGCAGGCTCCTTACCCATCCTTACCCTTGGCCATGTGTTGCCAGAAAAATTTGCTACCCAAATCACTTCTAGGAGGTAATGAGCTGCCTCTTGTAGGCTTCTGTAAAAAGTGGGAAGTGCCTGGGTGGACCATAGTTTCTCCTGGGACACAGAGTGGAAGGGCACCAGGAAGGATCTCCTGGACCCTCTAGAAACAGATGCTGGGTAGTGCCACCCAAAACCCTGCACAGATGAGAGTGGGCTCATGGTGGGAATCTGGATTGGCACTTTGGTGGATCCGTCTCCTTCATTTTCCACATGAGGCTAAAAGAGGGCTACCACCATGTCAGGGGCACCCAAAGAGCCGGAGAACCCAACCCCACCACCGACTCCCTGCTGCTGAGAGCTCCAGAAGAGTCTGTGAAAGACTGGCTCTGGCGCCCCCTAGTGGCAGCATGAGAGAAAGGCAGGGCTGGGGTAGAGAAGTCGGAGGCCAGGCTGGGTTGATTCCTCCAAGAGGTTCCCTTCCTCTGCAGTTACACAGCCTCCAACCCTCTGGTCGCTCCAGTGGGATATCTACCTCTCCCACCAGAGTCGGAACTCCTCAACAGTATGGGGAGGGCTGATCTGATTCATCACACCCCTAGGGCCTGCTGGGAAGGCATTGTGAAGATTTGAGGAAACGGTTTGAACGGAATTAAATTCAATATAAATAGAAGGAAACAGTGTGGACAAAGATTTATGCACAAGAATGATCGTTAAATCGATGTTTACAAAAGCAAAAATTGTGTTCATAATTGTAGAAGTGGGTGATGGGTATATGGGTTCATTATAGTGTTCCAGTCATCCTTGTGTATTTTGGAAATGTTTGAAACAAAGGAACTAATAGAAAACATAAAACTCCAACAATAGAAATCTAAATAAATTATGATGCAGTTGTGCAAAGGAATAATGTTTAGGGACATGGAGTGTTTTTTTTGTTTGTTTGGGTTTTTTTGTTCTTAATTATAACAGCTTTATTGATATATACAACTCACATACCATATAATTCACTCATTTAAAGTGTACAACTCAATGGTTTTTATTATATTTCCCATGTTTTGCAAACATCACCACAATCAATTTTATAGCATTTTCATTGTCCCCAACAAAACTCTACAACCATTGTCAGTCACTCCCCATTTGTCCCCAAACCTCATCCACAACCCATAAATCTATTTTCTGTCTGTATATATTTGTCTATTCTGGATATTTCATATAAATAGAATCATATCACATATGATCTTCTATGTGTGGCTTTTTTCCTCTTGGCATAATATTTTCAAGATTCATCTATGTTGTAGCCAGTGCCAGTACCTCATTCCTTTTTGTGATTGAATAACATCCCATTGTATGTACATTTTATTTATTCATACATTAGTTGATGGACATTTGGGTTGAACAATGTTGTTATGACTGTTCACATTTGACTTTTTTTTTTTTCAGTGCCAAGGATTGAATCCCAAACCTCACACCTGTAGCATTTTACCACTGAGCTACACTCTCAGTCCTTTTTTTGCTAGATTTTATATGGTTTCACTTAAGTTGCCCAAGGTGACCTTGAACTTTTAATTCCCCTGCCCGAGACTCCTGAGTAGTTATCTGGAATTACAGGCATGACCACTGGGCCCAGCTTCATGTACAAGTTGTTGTTGTTAAACCCAGGGGTGCTTAACCACTGAGCCATGTCCCCAGCCCCCCCCTTT